TCCTACGTGTCTGGGTCTTGAGTCTGAGCTTGGAACTCGGGTAGGACCAAGATGTGCATACAGGCTGTAGAAGTCAACAGCTTTTTCAATACAGAGGCAGCCACAGAGCAACTCCTGACAGTAAAGGCTGCTGAGAAAATTACAAAACCCCTCATTGCATCCCAGTACGTGGGAAGCCCTACCCAGTTGTTTTGAATTAGCTATTCCAACCCTTAGACTGGAAGAAGTAGAGACGGTAGCATTAGCGGTCTGTGTTGTTACTATTAGTTGAACTATATTACTTAAAATATATTTAACTTCTTACTCTTGAACGGGGAGCTGAAGCAGTTTTTTACAGGAGAAACTGCTTCCTTTCCGCAACAGCAAAAGCCATTTCTCTGGCTAATGCAAATGGAAAAAAAAAAAAAATAAAAAAAATAGAGAACATTATTGCAGCTCAACACTAAGTAGATCAAGGCTTTGCTCTCCCAGTAGAGTTGCCAGGCAAAGGGCAGCAGCAGCTCTGTCATTTATCACATCTTTCACAGGGATAATTCCCACATGCCTGCAGAATCAGCTAGAAAAGAGTTAAACTTAAGCAAACTAGTGCAGAGGCACATTTTTATGTGGAATGAGGAGAGGTAAAAATAAAGACATGTTGAAGGAAAAAAAAACCACCTGAGAGGGCTTTTGCAGAAATACAGTCAGAAATGTGATAAAATTTAGGCTAACTGAGGACTTTTAATTTCATTATTTTAGTTGGAAAAGATTTCTGAATGGCAAGAAAAAAAATCCTAGATACCTTCAATATACAGAACAGGCAAATAAAACTCAAGAAGATATACCTAGAGGAAAAAAAAAGTAAAAAATAATACTATCTTATAGAAAACTGAGCTACTCATGCCCAAAGGAAGCACACAGTCTGTATGAAAAGGCCCACACAACTGTCGAGTTTCCAAATGAAAGACAGCACAAAAGTTCTGCAGCTTTCGCGTCATCAAATTGGCATCAGAGTTCTGGCCAACATCTCAAATTCCAGCAAGTTGTGTTTCTCAAGTGAAAAAAATCAAAACCCACAAATACTGGCTGGAACAGTCAGCCAGAAGGAAAACAAGAGTTACTGAGTTACATAACCTATTGATTGCTAATAACCAGGTTGCTTTCTGTTCTGCCATAGCCAGAAGGCATCCAAGGGCCCCAGGGTGCCCATCTGTGCCAGGCAATGCTCCTCGGGAGCCAACAGTGAAAATCTCACTTGTGCCATGAACGTAGGGCCCCGCTAAATGCCTCAGCCTCACTGGGCTGCACAGGCAATGTTTTCCTGTGAGGTTTCCCAGGACAGTCTGAAAGCACACACTGAACCTTCTCCATCCTAACCAGGCAGAAATGGAAGCATGCCTGCTGTTTTGGGGTTTGTCTTTTTTAAATATCCCAGCATCATAAAACCAAGAGTGCTTCTCTGGGACAGGGGAGATGCAAACCTGGTTTCTTCCAAAGCCTCAACCTCAGCTGAATGCATTTCAGCACTATTTATCATGCTTGGAACAGGACTTGGCCTTCCTGGGCGAGTGTCACACTTGCCCAACAAGCAAGACATAGGTGCCCACTAGCTCAGTCTCCACTGGGAACACTGCAATTGTTCGGCTGCTCAACTAGATCACAGAAACTGTATGTTCCAAGGACAGCATAGAGGAAGGGTCTGGACAGAGATCTCCTAGCTCCTCTGTAACTGCTGCAACCACTTGCACGGCATTAGTGCCTCTGCTATTTTTCAGAAGAAAGACCTGGTTTGGATGCCTACACATGGGAACTGCTGACATTTCTTTTCCCAGATAACAGGCCAGGATAGTTCTAAGTGAAGTGATGAACAGATTTAATGAAGGCAGATACTGAAAAACTGCTTCCCACCAGGAATTTTCAATCTCTTGGCACGCACAACACTTTCTAGGGATACAAGTACATCCTGCCTCTCTTGGCACTGAAGTGTACCTAATCCTTGTTTCCAAGAAGGAATACAGTAATGTTGATTAAATCCGTTTCTGCATCAATGCATGCAAAGGGTTAGGGCTGGGCCAGGGTTAGGGCTGGGCCAGCTGCTGAACAGTGGCAGACTCTTAAACCCTCTCCCTCCCCAAACTGGAAAGGGAATAAGGCAGGGAGACTTAGGGATTGGAAAACAAAACCATCTTTAATAAAATAATAGTACTAATAAGGAAATAATTAAAATAATGAGCTACATGCAAATATATACAAAACTGGTATTGAACCCCCTCCAGCAGCAATCACCCAGAGCAGGTGGCACCAGGGAAGTCCCAGGCTCAGCAGCAGAGGGGAACTGGACACAGGAGATGGATTTGGGAACTCAGAACTGGGGTCAAAGGCAGCACAGATGGAATCCTCCTTGGATGCCAGCCATTGGAGCAAGAAAAAATCCATGAACATGCTAACTTCAGAAAGTGCAGCCTCTTAGAAGAGAACGAGCTGAAAACTAAAATCACTGAACATAATTGGTTCTGTCTACTTCAAAGCATGACAATGCAAGTGTCCTCTGTCACTCCACAGACTGGTGTAGGTCTCGAGACAGTAACTGAAACGCAAGAGAAGTGTCAAATTCATCCCACGGTACCTAACAAAAGGGAATTTCTAAAACAGTTGTGGTTTTCACATTTTGGTTTTTAATGACAGCTACAGCATGATTCCTATTGGTTGAATGTCTGATTTCCTAGGGGAAGCTTTCTGGATTTTAAGAAAAAAAGGAAGTATTTGTAAGTGCTAAGAATATTTTCATTAGAGTTATTTCTAGCTCAGTATTTATGAAGATAAAATGCAGTGACTTTAATTACACTGGCATGCAATAAGCAGAATTTGTCTCTCCTCAAACTGAATTTATTGGCAGGCGAGTCTGACCAAAGCTACTGTTAACGTTCTTTTAACCAGTATTTGTAGTTCTGAAGCAAACTTTAAACATTTTATGCTTTACTGGGGGAATGACAATCACCTTAGCAAATGAGAACATTATTTTGTTATTTCAGTTTGTTGGTTTTGCGCAATCACTCCTGGGCTGCTCTGTACAAAATACAGTCCTTTTCCACAGACTCACAGAATGGTTTGAGTTGGAAAGGACCTTAAGGATCATCCAGTTCCAACCCCCCTGCCACATCTGCTTTGAACCTGTGACAGCAGCAGCTTAATTCTTCCACAGCAGCAGAGAAATTATCCCACACATTAGAATTTGTGATGGTTTGCACTTCCCAGAGAAAGCAAACTTCCAATAACTGGCACCTGCAGCTGCTCCCTTTCCAACATGCACACACAAACACGCACACACAATTTTACCCTGGAAATCACCTACCAGTTTCAAAACCACTGAGCTGGAGAATCACAAGTTTTTTTGGTGGCAATAAATTTCACAGTTCTTACATTTGAGCAACACTCTCCCTTATTACATCAACAAATACAGATGCTAAATCTTCCTGCTTAATTTCAGTTCTTCAGTTTTCTCCCAGGTCCTGGAGATCAGAGAATTAAAAAATTCTTCTCAATTCCAACGCGCCAGAGATTAGAATTAGCTGAATAGCTCATCAGAGAATTGTTGTCTAATACTGAGGACAGACTTAAAAAATAGGCACCTTATACATTGATATTCAAATGTTTCACACTATAGAAGGAAATTCTATTTCAGTTTTGGCCCAACTAAGTATTCTCCAACGTGCCACAACATTCATTATTTGTTTCAATACTCTCTGAATGTTACCATCTCAACAACAGTACTAACTCATGTCATGTTCCGTCAAATATTTCAGCAGCAACAGCTACTTGCAGTTAAATCAAGCAAAAAACAACGGCTGTAAGGCAGCATAAATGAGCAGGAGGAACTGGATGCAATGAACAGATAAGGATCACTGCCTGAATTTTGACAGCTTTATAAAGAGCTGAACTCAAGGATCATGGAAACCAGGAGTGGCAAAAACACCTCACAATATGGAAAGGGCTCCCACCATATCAAGCCTTTCTTCCGAAATGGGCAAATCTAACATGTAGTTTTAGGTTTTCTCTTTATTGCTTGGTTAATAAGCATCTTTGAGGAAAGTATCTAGAACAGTCTCATAGGAACAAAGCTTGTTTTCTCCCTTTAAAGCCTCACTGACTTGTTTTATAAAATAGAATCTTTAAGATGTTAAGCTGTTCCTTGAACAACTTTACTTTTTGATAAAACTCACACATTTCTCCTGTTTTTTCAAAAGTCCTCAGCAAACTTGAAATGTTTTAAGATTTCCAAGGTAAAAAATTGTTTCATCTAAAGTAAAAAGAAAAAAAAATAAGAAGCACTTACCAAAGTTCAAGAGAGTTCTGCTTTCAGAGCTCCAGTCTTGTCAAGTTTTTGGTTCCCGGATTTTACTTCATCTGTGTTTATCAGAACATAAGTCAATTTTAGATGCTCTCTGTGCCTAGGATAATATCTTAAGAAAATTTCCAGTATTGACATCTAGATAAATGATTTTACCTCATTGGTTTCTAGTGCAGTACCTTCCTCTCTGGCATTTTGTCATCCTTTCACTTAGTTATGCAAATATGCAATCATTGTGTTTTCATCCCTGTGGTTCAGAAATGTGAGGTACACTACATTATGGCTGCACTAAGCAAAACGAGATACTCATAGATAATCCTGCCAATGATACAGCAAAGAATATGCACTGTGGAGAAGCTGTAGCTCAACATTTCTGAGCTTAGTCCTTACATACACAGAGAAACTCTAACAGAACCTGAAAAAATGTACATATTTTATTAGGGAGCTGGGGAAATGGACGGAAGAGCACTTATAAATTTTATGATGACATAAATGCATACTATTTTCCTTTCCCTAACCCCCCAAATCTGGGAAAACCCCATGCACGATCACTTTTCCAAGTCCTTTACTTCTATGCAAAATAACCCAAGTCTTGAAATTACCAGATACATCTGATGCTTCCAAAACCTTAGAAATTCTTCAGTTGCTTATTAATTCCATTAAAATAGCTCTGGTAGGAAAGAAATTATTTTAATAGGAAAGGTGCATTTAATATTGTAAAACAATTGCAATATACAGTTTTTAAAGCAAGTAATAAGTCACTTTAGATCTACAAAGATTTTTTAATACATTTGGGTCTTACCATCTCACAATCCTCTTTAAATAAATATTTAACAAAAGCATCTCACTTTTAACAATGGAAGTAACATCACAGATAAAAATAGTATCAGCCACATTGCAGAAATGCTACAACAAAGTCCCCTTCACCCGCCAGTCTTGAGAGAGCAAATCCTGCAATTCTTCTTCGTCTTCACTACCAATAGCCTCATCCTCTTTCTCTTGTGTTGCTCTTAATCTCATGGCTTCCTTTATCTTCTCCTTCATCAGATCCTGGCGGTTACGCAAAAGTTCAACACGGCGATAACATTCACTGTTGAAAAGTAAACCACCTATTAACACTTGCGGCCTTTCCCTATTAATTGGCTTTTCTACAGTGCTCGGTATTTCTTCTCCAACTTCGAATTAAAAAAAGCTCCACAGCTTCCCATCAATTAAAAAATAGGCTTTCAGTACGCTAGTGCCCCTTCTTCTGTGTTAATCAAGTGGAAAAAGACCAGAGGAGAGGGGAGGCTGGTTAATTCTCTAGCAATGAGATCTAATCCAAATATTTAACAAATGCAGTACCACCACAAACATTTCTAAAAATAACACAGAACCAATATCCACTTTCATACAAGAAGAGACACCATTCTTTGCTCCACATGTGGTTTTCATATATGGTAGAAAGGTGAGCTATCAACTGGCTATCGATTTTGGTAATTTAACGGTGGCATCTCTGGTAAAAGCAGCACAAGTGTTCAGATTTTGCATCCACTTACTGTGTGCTATAACAGAACAGTTAACTAAATACAATCCACAAGTTTCAAGTATTCCATTTAGTTAAAAAGTTCTGTCCTTGAAATATGTTTTATAACAAATTATTCTAAGCATTTTAACAGGGTATTTTGTTGAAACTGCCAAGTAGCACTGGCCTCATTTAAATGCATCTTTGCTTCTTTCATTCCTATTTGCTAGGAAAAGTCAACAAGGAAAGATAATTATGTGGATCCTGTTTCCCTGCATATCTGCAATACGATTACTTACAAGCAGTCATAGCTGAAGATGTGAAGGCTAAGGAAAACATGAATATCACTGGGATTAATTTGATTTTTAATTTAATTCGAAATAACCTGCATTTAAGTACACTCAGAAGACAAAGCTACAAAAACAGTCTAAAAATCCATTTTGAAATTTAATTCTGGAAAAAATAACTATGGTAACAAACTTGAAATTCTCTACAAACTTGTGAATTTGGTTCTAAGTACTATAGCATCCTAAGCTACTGGGAAAAATAAACGCTCAAAGACAGCCAGGTTTAGCCCAAGCCCTCTCCAAAATCACAGCAACACTGTTAGAAGACATTCCTGTATTACCAAAGCTCAGTTTGAGCCCAACGCTAGAGTTATTATATGCTGATTATTTGTAGCACGTAAATCTGTCCAGTGTTGCTTTAATTTGTGGTGTCTTCTTTTTGCTGCAAGGTTCATTAAAATCAGAATTTGTCTTTTTCGTTTCAATCGCTACCATTGCCATAATCACTGTTAATCAACGTGTTAAGCTACATGATAAAGGCAACAATCTGTTCCACTAAGCTGTATTTCAGGTTACTTCAGAATTTAAACTAATGTTTATCCAACTGCTACGCTTACCATTTCAACAAAACAAAAAAACCCCAACCTACCTCATGTAATGAAGTGCATCATTCAACAAAACCTTTAAGGTAACTTTTATTAGAAACAAGGAGAGTAAGTCTCAGAACAGGACATTTTTCAGCACAGCAGGTGGATGGTCAAAACACAAATCTCATTATCGAAATTTGAACTGCAGTGCAGAGTATCAGACCTTGTTTTTTAAAAGTGGTCACATAAATTCAACGCCAATCAGAATTCACAGAGAAATACAAATTAAAGACATCTGACAAAGGGAAGAGGCACAGTTTTTTGCTTTCTATTGCGTCATTTTGCCCGTGCCTGTTTGCTGTACGTTCAGCAATTCTAGTGCGTTCTCTCTTTGCAAATAGTTATATAACTTTGGACTCAAATTCACGTTTGTATTAGGTATCATTCTGCAATTCGAGGGAGTCTTTGCCCTTCAAATATTTAGGTGACTAATGTGAGGTAATATCACAGAAGATTAAAATTAAAAATGTTTTTATCGCTCTAGTCAAATAGCAATCCATTACTGCTGGAGAACAGAAAGTTTGAGGAAAAATTGATCTACTTACATCTGCTCATCAATTTCTCCAATCTGACGATCTAGTCGTCCCTCCTCATCCTCTTCTGCTACTATTGCTTCTGAAATCTAAAGCAGAAAAGCGCTAAGAAAATTCACCTTCATCCTAAATTCCACTGTTGTTCCTTTTTGATGTCTGTGTCTTCCCTTCCTCCCCTCTACCTCAAGTCAGTGTCAATCTCCTGTATCTATACTCCCACCTTCACAAGACTCTGGAGGCAAATACAGGGAAAAAAACACCAAAACTTGATCTGGTTTAATTTGAAATGGAAATGTTTTTTCTTAAAACTAAAAATAGTTTGGCTGCTTTGGGGTTAACCTTTCGAATTTTTCAGTACGCTATTTGAAAGTGAGTGTAAACAAACTAGAGCATCCAAAGTCTGAGGTTGAAATAGGAGCTTTATCCCAATGCTTCGGACTTAATTACACACTCTTATTGCAAGTATTGGTTAAATATTCCCACTAGATCCCGAAGTGTTTCTAACCTGTTATTTTTTTCAGCATATACTTTCTCAAATCTGAATGTCTGGGAGATGCTATGCAATCAATGGTCCACGCATAACTGAGAAGATTCCTTCTAAGCTGAAGAATTATCTGAATGGCTAATGCTAGCAAACTGTATCCACCATTGCTTTTGTATGAACATTCGCTCTGTTTATAGTGCTGACCGCTTTAAAATGAGCAATGATAATTTTTTTTGCACCCCTTTTCCTATCAGTTAACATATGAGCAATTGTTTACAGTTAAAACTAAAAAGCTAGCAAATAGTCTAGAGGAAGATAAGAACACCAAGTATCTTTAGTGACAATTCTTGTATTGGACAAAAGGGCAAAAAAAACCCTGTTCCAGGAAGTCTTTGCGTGCAATGCTAAATAGAAAAAAATGGAAATACAAAAAAACTGTAGCCAACCTATGTGTCTCTTATGGAAAATTTTTCATCACTTTCCAAATTTGGGGGTTCCTTTCCAGTATATTTAAATTAACCATAAACCCCAGGCTATCTACACTTTATGGATCCTTTCTGAAAAAGACAAATGGCTGGTATTTTGTTCTGTGTTTTTCAACATTAAAATATGAATATCTCTCATCTAAAGAAGTGCCCACAATTACATCCTGTTTGGATAGAAGATGCTGGCACAACACTGTCATACATTTTATCTTATTTAAATACTATTTAACAAATGTAACTAAACATATATTGATGACTGGATCCTGATCAAAATTAATTTCCCGTAAGTCAAAAATAGAGGGAACCCTTTGCTCATTTATAAAGTGCATTTAACCACACACTGCATTGCAATGAACAGCTGACAAATGCAGATGTCAGTCATTCTGCAGAGCTGCATGAAACTGTTGTTTTCCTTATTGTGTATAGTATTTAGAATCAATAAAAATAGATTCCATTACTTACTGTGTTGACCTGTCGCATTGCCTTTTGAAATTCATCCCATTCTTTGTCCATCTGATCCTTCGGAGCATCAACTTTTCGCACCTAAGGAACATGAAAAATACAGGCTAATTAGCAGTTTAGGACTAGCGACTTTTTGGGGCACTGTAGAACACCTGGAGAACTAGAAGTCATGCTATGTTCTCAGAAAAGCCTGGTCAACATACCTCAGTTTAAGTAATGTGTATGAGCAAGAGTGTGCAGCTGCACAATGGTTTGGGAGGAAAATTCTGACTCTACTCCTGGATTAAAAGAGCATCCTTGACTGTAGCATTAAAGAGTAACTAAGAGTAGAAGGTTTGGAACGTTTGAAGTAACAAAAGAGACTAAGTGTTAATTTTAGTCTACAATTTCACTGTGTCAGGTGATGACTTTTAAGTTCTTCTGTAAGCTGCCTGTTCAACTGTATAGTGGCTACCTCGCAAGCCAAAAAGCAGTGAATTATTCATCTTCGGCATAACATAAAATAGCAAATGATTCAGTCACTAGTCTGACTGATGTTAGATCGTCTGACTATACTTCAAAACTAGTCTAATTTTGTTGGCTAAGAGAAGAAATAGTACAGCTGTATACCAATTTTAACAACGTGCAAAGATTTTCTTTTGTGGTAGATGGCGTTAATGACTCAGACAAGGCAAATGTAAAAGTAGTAGCTCTAAAAATGCTACAACAAAATCTACAACTAAGGTAATCAAAACCAGATTGTGCTTTTACTACAAGCAAATAAACAAGATAATCTGCCTGTGTAACCAAAACTTCCATAGTTCAAGACTGGAAGATGTGGCATGTAACATAATGTTAAGAGGACAGATTACACCTGGCTCTGCACTGGGTGGAAGTTCTATAGCTAGGAGAAGTAAGCGGTTTGAGCAGGAATAATTCGTGACATCATCTTCTTGCACTAAGTTTTATTTTTTCCTTTATTCATTCCTCTCTTTTGGTAACACATCAGTCATCATCATGGTAAAGATAATGGTTTGGTATGTTTTGTTCCTGAACGATTATACAAAATGCAGTAGTACGAATTAAGTTCTTAGAATAAATTAGAAGCTTCCAAGCAAACTACATACTGGGAAGTAATAGTGATCACTTCATTTTTCTGTTCTGTGATTATTTCTATCATATGTGTATGTACTGTGTTACTACGCATTGTGGTTGTCTTTTGTAAGTCATAATTATTTGTATTTCTTACAATAAATTTAAACACTAAAGATACTCTTTTTCCTTGAAATATTTATCTAATCCAGAATTTATATGCTTTATAAGTTCCTGATATAAAGAACCAACATTTTTCAAGCCTACGATCTCCCTTCCAACTGTCCACTGTGGATTCTGAAAATAACCATTTAGTGTATGATTCCAACACAGAGTCACTGCAGCCATCTCGGTATAAGCAATGTCACAAACATTTCCCTTCCCCTGCATATTAGCTAAAATTAGAAAGGGCTGATTAAAAAGAAAAGCACTTGCAAGCAATTCAAGGAAGACCTTGTTCCAACATGTATCTGCTTGCAAATTTTAGCAGCTGAGGCAATAACCAGAACAACAATCACTCCTCAGTGCCCTCACAGATACAAGCGGATAATCCTTTGCCTGCCAGACATTCCCACTTTCACAAGCTTCTTGACTCATGGTGAAACTGAGTATTGAAAAATTTAGTTTGTCATATGGAAAAAATAAGTGTGGCTTTTTCGGCTACGTATTTCAATACTCAAAACTATTCACATATGCCAACACGTGGGCATGGATGGTGCCAAAAGAATCGTGTCAGAGCAAATAAGAGACACCTAAGCTTGTAACTGGGACAGTGGTACCAATTGAACATAAAAAATAATTATTTTAGAGGTCTCCAAATCAGAAGTCATGGCTTGACCTCACAGTCCAATTTAAATACACCAACACCCTTCCGCAGTGTGGACAATAGGGAGATATACTCGAGGAAAATAAAAAAGACTTTGAGCCTATAACATTATTATTTCAATGAAGAAAGCATGAAAGCCATCAAATTTGGGGCAAATCTTACAAAACAAAGCAAAATGTTTGTATTTCAAACATCAGGGTTTATTTTAGACATCATTTGGTACTATGCAAGTTGAAGGAAGTATGAATGATTTTGATCAAAACTTCAAGAATTTTAGCTGCAGTGGTTTTTTGAGAAACACATTGAACATCTCCCTTTCCAAGCATCAAAAACCAGAACAGTGGTAAAAGACAAGAGGAATGAAGACCAAGTTCACTGTTGTAGTATGTCAGCACTAGAAATTACAGTGTAAGCCATAATCTAGCTATTTTCATTCTAATAGGATGCTTAGCATCCGTCACATCATAAATCTTAACGCTTTTCAATGGGATCTCTCAAAGGACATCAGAGAACTTTTATATCCTCAATTCCAAAGCAGAATTATATGTACAAATTAAGAGAAATGCTTTTCCTGAGATGACTCAAAGAAACAGAAGTATCAGGTGGATTGTCCAAATCTCAGTCCAGCATTTTAACCAACAGATAATATTTCACTGGTTTTCTTTAAAAGCCATAAAGGAACAACAATCAAAATACCTTCTGAGATGAGTGAACAAGGTCTTCTCACCCACCTCCCTTCCTTTTCATGTCTTCTAATCAATGCAGAATCAATAGTTCAAAGCTGCACCACTGGGGGTTTAGACTGGACATCAGGAAGCATTTCTTTACTGAGAGGGTAGTCAAACATTGGAACACAATTCCTAGAGAGGCGGTTGATGCCCCAAGCCTGTGGGTGTTTAAGAGGCATTTGGGGAATGCCCTTAACAACATCCTTCAACTTTTGGTCAGCCCGGAACAGGTCAGGCAGTTGGACTAAATAACTGTGGTAGGTCGCTTCCAGCTGAAATAGTCCATTTGATTTTAAATAGTTCAGTCATTTTCTTATAGTCTAATTACCTGGAAAAGCATCCTTACTACTTAGAAAATTATTAAAACTGGAAGAAATAAATCCAGCAGCATAAGAAGAGCAGATCACTTACTTTTGCATCCACTTCAGGATCATCAAAGAAACCTTCTGGCAAAGCTTCAGCAGTGTTTTCTTTCCTGAAATGTTTGATTACTATTATCCCAGGTTAACACTTGACAGCCTGCTTTATTATAGAGTTAAAAATAGTCAAGAATAAAATTCAGAATCTTTTACAAAAGGACCTAAAAATGGAACAAGTTTTTTATGCCTTCAAAACTTTCTTCCTCATTTTGGTCTTACCCAACCTACAAGGAACTGCAGAGACAGGTTTAATTCTCACAGTCAAAACAAGTGTTACAGTTTAGGCTTCCTAAACTATTCTTCCTGGTGTGCTAAGCACCCATTTTAACAGCACAGCCCTACTTTCAAAAGTCTAAAGCACTGTCTAAAAAAGTGCTCAAGTGAGCTGAACTGTTACTACTGAACAAGCAAACAGTTGTCTCTAAACAGTGACAAGCAGGGGTTGACATTAAGCTTCCAAAGTATCCTGCGTTAAAATTTGTAAATGGAGATGTCCAACATGCACTGTATGGCACTGCTCCACTTCTTACCCTGCCCCTTGGGTGCAAAGTACCTCCTGGAAATAATGCTAGAGGCTGACATATATACAAACTATTCTGAATACAAGTTAACAATATGACAGATTTCCAAGTGATCACAGTCTGTGTTTCCTGGAAGAACAATGTTTATTTATAATTCCCAAATCTATCAATACTTGATCTGGCTGCTTACCTTTCCACTATCTTCTCTTGTATCTCTGCTTTCTGTATGGATCCTGAATGGGAAACTATAGGAGCAGATGGAGTTTTGCTGTCAAAGAAGTCTACAAGAAAGACAGAAGCCTATGAACAAAAGAACAACTGTTCAAGCTTCTTTATAAAATTCTGACTGGACAGGAATTTCAATTAATATCTTACTGAATCAAGGGAACAGCAGCCAGACATTATTTCACTTGACAGCCTCAAACAATTAGAACATAAAATCAATATGCATGCTGAACAACCACCACACGTAACAAACTAGCAAAGAATCTCCTTTCTCTACTCCAATATTACACAGCCTAACTAGTTAATCACAACAATAAATAAAATACATTAAAACCCATCCATCATCACTTAAAACACAGCTGCTCCTTACTGAAGTATTACCTGCAGGCAGAGAATTAGCTACTACTTCTTGAGTTGGAGGTGGAATTTCAGTTTTTTGCACAGCAGAAGATTTGTCTGATTGATCTTGTTCTTCCTCTTCATCATCATCATCATCATCATAATTTCCAGACAATAAACTGGGACCTAGACCCTTTGAAAGAGCTTCATTTGCACTATCTCGTTCCTTTTCATCAAAAAAATCTGCTGGTAGCCTGGTAAAGAACACAACATAACTATTTCAAAATTCACAAAAATCAGTCTAGCATCTGAAGCCTATTCAATCTGTTAGCAATACAATCTTTTAGATACTGTGCAATAGCCTGAACTGTGCAATAGCCTGAACTGCGCAGCTACCTATGTAAATACTGTCTGAGAGCAGCATATACCTGTTCCTTTCATTTGAAGTTCCCCAGAAATGTTTAGGTTAATTCCGAAAACACATTTCATTTTTGTATTTGAATATTCCGTATCAGAAATGTTAATAAAAATAGCCCACACCAAAGTGCATTCAGAGGAATGGCAGCTTAGGTAATACTATTTCCGCATTCAAAGTTATGTGCTGTTCACCTGCTGTGAACACGTTAAATAAAAAATTCATAGTTCAGCCATTATACTAATATCACATAAATCTTGATAACCTTCATCTATAACACAGCTACTTACAGCTGCAGCTCAGAAGAGCCACGCAGACTCAGCAGTGAGAAAATCCAGATTTGCTTGGGATAGCTGCAGGTCTCCAAGCCAAACATTCTTCCAGGTTATATTTGAAAACAATCATACCCATCAGTTTAATAGTGAACAAACCTCTCAACTGTTAATTTTGCACAAACACTTCAATTCCTACAAGGGAAGTGTCTTCTGCTGTCAAGATAGCAGCACGTAATACCTACGCAAGATAATAATAATTTATCCATAGAAAAAGCGTGCAGGAGACCTGCAGGCCTCATGTAGCATCCACCGACCCCACAAAGATGCTCTTGGCTTGGATGGGCATACGCTTGGCTGGGTGAAAAACTGGTTAGATGGCCAAGTCCGAAGAGCTGCGGTCAACAGGTTTAAATCCAGTTGGCAGCCAGTCACGAGTGGTACTGGGGCCACTCCTGTTTAACATCTTCATCAATGATTTGGACGAGAGGATGGAGTGCACCCTCGGTAAGTTTGCAGATGACACCAAGCTGGGTGGAAGTGTCAATCTGCTTGAGGGTAGGCAGGCTCTACAGAGGAATCTAGATAGGCTGGATCACTGGGCCAAAGTCAATTCTATGAATTTCAGTAAGGCCAAACGCTGGGTCCTGCCCTTTGGCCACAACAACCCGCAGCAGCGCTACAGGCTTTGGGGGGGGGGGCTGGGGGGGG